TGAAATCTATCGAGATTTACTGGTTAAGATTCTTATAAAGTAATTTAAAGAGACAGAAAATATTTAATATATTTTAAAGATTTTTAGATAAAGAAACGTATACAACGTGCATAAAAAATCTAAATAAATATATCAAAATAAATAATAATTTAAAAAACAAAAATAGAAACAGCAAATTTAAAAAATAAATTAAACTAGCAGCTTTAAAATTTTTACATCATAATTTAAAGTAGAATTGTCACAGAAATAATTTTAAAAAATTTATTGCGATCCAATTAATAAGCTCTGATGTATTAACTCCTTCAAAAAATTTCTAAAAATTTATGTTACAATATTTAAACCTTTTTAAATATAAATGTTCATATTAAGAAAATATAATTAAAATGAATCGTAATAAAGTCAATTTAAACGGAATAAATAAAAATTGCTATCTTATTATAAATCAAATGTAAGACAACAAGTGAATATGTGTAATAATTATCATATTTTTAATATGAGCTTTTTACATGTTAAGAAGCAAGGTATTCCCGACAGATTTCCCAACTTTAAAAACCATTTGGATTTCCCAATCATTTTAATAACTACATCATATTTGATGATATATGCAATAAAAGTTAACATAAATTTGTCTGCTTGATAAGACATGATATCGCAACTTTTTCAAGGATTGTGGAATTGAGAAATAAAAGCTTACATATTACTTCAACATAGTGACTGCGTTCGCTTTGTCGCTTACAGCGCTTGTGAATATCAATTGTCCTTGTTTAACATTTAATACTTTTATTAATTATTATAATATTTATAACTTTTATTAATTATACTAAACAACAAGGATGAAACGACGCTTAAAGCATTGTGGACGCCAAAGCGAACACAACCAGTATAAAGAGCTTATCAAAATATTAAAAATAGCTTATCTGTCAAAGTGACCTATTTAAAACTATATCGTTTCTTAGAAACGTTAATTCGATGTGAATGATCGTGTTATCTTTTAGATACGTTTAAACTAATAAATCGAAATAAAAAGATATCAAAAAACGTATTGGAACTATAGCAAACGTATATAAAATGGAAGCTCATTAACTTGAAAAACAATAATAAATAAAAATAATCATAATTATCTATAAAATGGAGAAACTGCATGCCGTTAAATAATATTCAGTTTTTCAATATTTATTATTTCTTCAATATTTTCTGTGTTTTTGCGAATTGTTCTGCTCGGATGTTTAATGCATATTTTACATAATCAGCGTTATACATGTTGCTACTTTTATCTTGAAAAATATTCATATGTAAGTTATTCGCGGAAAATTACGAAGTTCACGAAAAGCAATATGAGAGATCAATATACCATGCCACCAGAAGAGCATTCAATATGCATGTGTATTCGTCCTATTATCGAGGTGTTCATAAACGGACGGTCCCGATCATACGGCGTTTCGCAAGTGATTGTAGCCGTTTGCAAAATTAAATCGACAAACATTCGAGGCCACTTCGGCGCGTAACGGAACAGCTGACACACACGGAAAACCCGTGTGTTTCCATGTTCCGCAAGAGAGATTAATACGGCTAAAATTTCGCAATTCCGTAAATTCTCGTTTTAAAATTCTGTTTATCGCATTACAATATCAAACCCGATTACGACAGTAGCGATGTACAAGAGCACGCTTTACGCATGAGTGTCATTTAAAAAAAAAAAATAAAGAAAAAAAGAAAATAATACACGCGATCGAACAAATTATTTAAGTAATGTAAATTTTTCGTAAACTAACTTAAACGGAATGAGTTTTTGCGCCGATGAAATATGTGTACGCGCTTATCTCCCCTTAGTTGTAACATCCTGTTGTTACTCGATCTTAAAAATCGTAGTATCAGTATTTACGCGCGTAATTACAAACCAGGCTCTTTGTCATACTTCGCCGCTCCACAATTACAAAAAGAAACAGGATGAGCGAGGCACAGATATCTGCTTCATTATAACTGCTTCTATATAACTATATTAATAAAGTGTTATTTAATATATAAAATAATTCTCAAAATAACTCTCGTAAATAATATTGTGATAATCAAAGCATTTAGTTTTTTGTTTAGCAATTTATCTACTAATTTTGTTAGTGCGTTAACTCGCTACGTTAATGGACAATAGAGCAAGGACATATATTTATCCTTTTACCTTCAATAGCATAACCGGTTCTATTTTTAAGATAAAACCATATTCAATACCAAGATTAATAAATGAAAATAAAATCGCAAGCGCAATATAAACTTTTTTTTTTATTATATTGAGAAATCAAAAAATTTCCAATAAGAACTTGCTCGATCATTTAAAATTTAGGGTATTTTTAACTTTATCGCTTTATCGCGAACGCGATATTTCATCAACATTTCGGTGGTTCAACGTACGCGGTCTTCCCAATTGGAATCTACCGTTTGTGCCCGATTGAAGAAGAATTGACGTGGAAACCAAAGATAGCGAGTTTGATTCTCCATCGTGAGCTATTTAGGCAGAAAGGAGATTGTCACGGAGGTTAATTTCCGTCTGTAACAACTGCGACAACGAAGTCTACATCACGGCCTTCACGGTCACTGAAACAGAGGCACACGTCACCAAGACTTACGTCAGCGATCGGCTCGAGGAATCTTGTGTCGGGTATACTCAGGATTGGATCGTTATCTTGTTTGATAGATAGCACGAGTGTAGTGAATTGTAATTGCTTGATATAAAAAGTCTCGTTCTGTGATCAATTCTATTATACTGTAAAAATTTTATCGAATCACCTAATATTCGAATCTTTTTAATTAAAAAAATCCGCATTTATTGAATATAATCTAATAGAGAGAGCTTTTAGTTAATATTTTAATTCCTTTTAAAAAATAATATTTGTTAAAAATCTGCATATTATACGTACATAAATTTCATTTTATGTGCATAAATCTTTTTCTTAAAATATATTTGTATGATACTTATATTTTGCTATGAATTAGTAAACCTATAAATTAATTGCTAAATTGAAATCGATCCTTATGGAGCTTTATTATTTCATTTCATTTAGTTTCGTTCATCGATACGATTCTTATTGTAAGTGCGTTCGATATTCTCATTATTTTTATTGACAAAAATTCTATTATATAAAAAGTTCTATTCTTCCTACTTTTTTTCTTGAAGAACACATAACCGATGTGTATGCACTTTCACAGCATGTACACATAATTGAAATATCATAAAGCAAACCAAGAGAAATTATCACATGTTTTTTGCATGTGTTTGATTAAGTGCCAAAATGAGATCACGTCTGCTATAGAAAGATGTAAATCGAAATCTAAAAATACCGAATCTCTCTCCCGAACGGAGTTATATAATTTTCCGAACAAATTACAATCCAAGAATTATTACACAGCGGATCGAAGTGCACTATATAGATCTTCCTGATAGCCAGGCTGATAAAAAAGAGCATGATGAAACGGCATGAACGAGTAGCGGGAAATTTTTCCATTGTGATCATAGAAGGCGTGAAAAATACGGCAATGGATTCGATGTCCGTTTCGAAATCGACATGTTTCCTTGAATCGCGAAAAATGATGAAAAATCAAGTGGCACTAAAAATCGGTTATGTGTTCTTCAAGGAAAAAAGTAGGAAAAATAGAACTTTTCATATAATAGAGCTTTTTGTCAATGAAAATGATGAATATCGCACTCACTTGGAATGAGAATCGTATCGATGAACGAAACTAAATGAGATAATAGAGCTCTATAAGGATTTCAATTTAGCAGTTAACAGGTTTATTAACTCATAGCAAAATATAGGTATCATACCAGATACTCTGCAGGGGCAGAAGATCTATCGGTTGGAAACGTATTGAGTTCAACTCTCCGCCAATTTCGATTTCAAACGTTATCGTACAGTACGAAAGTTTCCTTTGAGACCAGTATGTTACCGAAGTGAAAAGGGATAAGTCTCTATATATCTTTCGATTTCAAAATAAAAATATCAAGATATGTTGAAGATTATAAAACGTTTTAAAATATCTTTTTCAATAGGATTACGTCTCTCTTTAAAATACGTCTCTCTATTGAAAATGAAGCTAATATCAGCGAACAAATTCAACGAAAACGTATTTGCGGATCGTTAATTGCATATTTAAACCGCTCACTGTAGCATATGTTTCTTCTTTAAATATTAATTCGCATATCCAATTTATGAAAAGAGATCGATTTGAACGATCTCTGCACTTCTTAACTTCACGAATGAATAATGAAATAGAAATTAATTAAAGTACAAAGCGGTTTCCCTCACCACATTGTCGAGTTATTCTACATGAAAATATAATTCTCTAATTCAAATTCTCTAATTTAAATTTACCGCAATTATTAATGTCAAGTGGATAAATCTTGTAATTTTAATTTGGATGTTGTGTACTAATCGAGCTGCTAGAACTAAATGGCATAGATTGTTTGTTACTTGGAAGAAGAACGTGCTATTAAATCTCAAGAGCATTGTATAATTCACCTTGATGATAACACATTCATATTTATTCCGCCGCACTTCGTGCCTTACAGCACTTCGATTTTCAACGATTCAATTAGATATATTTAATACTTGTACTTAATTTTATTTAAATATTGTTCTCTCTATCAATATACAATCTAAAAGAAACCATCGCATTGCGTAAGCCAAAACGTATTTGGATCAATTAATCTCATTTTAATAATACCCATTACTCATCAATAATTTCCTCTCATAACCGTTCGATTTCATCACAGTCGATTAATTAAACAATTCCAATACAATAATTACCACCGAAAGCAGCTGTATCGGTAAATGTTCGTTTCAGGAAAAAAACGTAAAATCGTATTCACGTTACGGTGAAAAGGTCTGCAAAAGGTCTTCCATGACAATCTAGAGATTCCGCGCACGATCGCGGAAACTATATATTAAAAGAAAGAGAGACCCAATCCCAATCTAGGTCTGGGAGCCGTGATGCTCAAATAGCGAACTGACCTTGCCCAAATAGCGAAATCCGTAGTCCTCGGCAACTCGCTTGGCCACCTTCTCTCCTCCATCGATGTGTGCCGCCCACTGGTTGGTATACGCGCGCGCTCGACCGCCGAGAGTGAGCAGGGCCACGACCGCCAGTCCGAAAATCCGCCGCGTGCACATGATAGCTCCACCGCTGCACCGACGACGATGATCGCCACCGGCTGCCCCAGTTTCGCCACCCCCGCGAGCCACAGTTATCATCCACTACTATATATCTCCACCACCAACACCACCGCCACCGTCGCCACCGCTTGCCAGGGCAGCAGCGACACGACGGTAACACCGTGCCACCACGACAAACACCACGATTGTCACGACACACCACGGTTGCCGAAACGAAGAAGAGGAAGCAAGGATCTGCAGCCTCTAAAGAACTACTTTGTGTTTGCTCTTTTTCTCTCTTTCTTGTTCCCTGTTGCGATTCTTCTCGGTCGATCTTTCCGGTGTCTTCTCTGTGCGGGAGCTCCCTTTTATGGACCACGCACGTGTACACGCAGACGACGATCCAGGAAAACGCGACCACTCACGTATACACTCATACACGCGCTTCTCGCAGGCACCCACGCACGTCGTGCACCTGCGGACCAACCGCTTGCGAACGACTGAATCGCCAGCGGCGCGTGTTACTCGTTTTAAGTACCGAACCTCCACCACACCGCGTTGTCAGCCGTTGACTCTTCGTCGCTATCGTCCACGTCGACGTCGCCGTGACGTCGTCGCCGCCACTGCCGCCGCCGCCTTCGGTCAACGGGCAGGAGCAGCAGCGGGAGGAGAAAGAGGCAATCGTCAAGTCATGTGGCCGCCGACGAGTGGGGAAGACAACGGAATGATTCTCGTGATGACAGTGTCGCGTGCGCTGCCACGAACGCGGATGTCCGCCGTCGCGCGCGATCACTGCGGCGATCGCGTATGACCTTCCCGATTCGCGGATATTCACGCCGCACGGACATCCAACGCGACCTTGTCACCTCTCACGCCTCCTGCACGCTGAGATTCACACGGGGTCTCAACAAGACCGGAGATCTGTCATCGCCTTCTCTCGAGGAGTACCCTCTATATTTCACTTTATTCAAACTGAGCTAGCCATCCAGATTTGTCAGGTCTCAGATTGTTGCGTTTAAATCGTTTTACTTAATAAAAAAGTCTCAAGCTCAGTCTGATGTTATATCTTCGTCTTGACTTTCGTCCATTGACTTTCATAGTCACGTCCGCTTATTAAAGATTTTCATATCGTACCTTCATTTCCTCAGCACGAGATGAATGTTTTGCTACTGGATCTCTCGTATTTCTCGATTGTCTCCTCTCTCGTTTCCTTCTCTGTAGCAGAAGAAACGTGCACTTCGCCGGCGTTGGAATTTTTCACCGACACGACTCAATTACTCGCGCGGCGTCGTCAGCGTTCCCGTTCTTCACGCGTCTATCATACCTCCAGAATTCCTCCTCTTACGCCCGTTTCTTCGGGTGTCAGCAAAGCATCTGGTCAGATCCTCCTTTCGCGCATTTCAATCGTTCGCCCTTCGTTTTGTTTAGTATGTTCCCTCATTACACAGAAGCCCTCATGATCTTGATATTCTCTCGCACATCCTCTCTTTTCGAGAACGTCAACGAGTTGACGCCACGAGAGACACTCTCTTCCATGAAAATTCTGTACGTTTCTTGACTTGTTCGAAGAAAAAAAACAAAATTCTCGATTTTGTTTCAGCGTCTTGTCGTACTCTTCGAGTTTACAATCATGCCCGGTCACGAAGAAGTGAATGGCCAGCCACTCGAACGAGGTCACGGCGCGTAGCTGACCGAGAGGTCGATCACGTCATCGAACACCGCATCGTTCCCTTGGGTGCACCGCAGGAGACGAACGATGAGATGTATCGCCAAGGTCCTCGCTGAGTTAGATCTCTCTTTGCTTCAGAACGGGTCTTGGGCTGCAAACGATGTTAAGAGAAATTGATTAGTCGAAGTTTCCAACAAAAACTCTTAGTTGATTTCGGATAAAGTAAACTCGAGTAAGATGGTTATACGGAAAAGAACTGGTAACAGATTTTCAAAATTACTTTAAAAATGGTCTATTTAGTAATTGTTGAAGAAATTGTAACCTATGGTCATCTTTCTCGTGTGGCCATAATACTCGAGTTTATCCTACTTAAATTTGCAAAATCGCAGTTGAACTACTTAAAGTACCTGATAATCGCGAAAATTAATTTCAAAGCAAGTTCTGGTACACGATGCTAGTGTACATTATATATGCTTGCTAAAAGCTTGAGTTGGTCAGTTCTGTAATTTATGAATTTTTATATTAACTCCAAGCGTCAAAGAACTTTAAAAATTATAAACTAGAGGAAAATTAATTCCGAGAAACAATTCAAAAAACAGTTTAAAGTATACATATGTGCAAACATATAATACGAGTACAAAGAGATTGGAAACTATTTAAAGATATTATTTATGTGCATCTCTTGGCACTTCGAAACATTATTCTCCATCGTTAACAATGCATCACATTGCCAAGGACTCACGCTTTGTACTAACGTCACGTTTGAAGAACATTCGGCCTAGTCAGCATTTTCGTGTCGAAAAAAAAAGATTCAGCCTAGCAAAATCCACGTCGGTTTACGGTGATTACAGCACGAATAGTTTCGCCTCGACGAAATTGCATTCGCATATAACGTGACCTGATTCTCCGTTATGGATTAGAGCTGATTTTACAACCACTCGGCGATTCCGCATTACAGAAATCGAATGGGAAGCCAGTTGTTACATGATTTTTTATGAGAGCCGTCGTTATAACGTGGCATACCATCAAATTAATCATCGTATCCAAGCTCTTACTTAACTTTCGTTACACTACATAATTCACGTACACGATACTATCCATTGTGATCGTAGATAGTAGGAAGCAGAAAACTTGCGTTTCAAACGCATCAAAAATTATCATTTCTAATCATTTACTGCAATTATTATTGTCATAGTAATCGCATCGTAAAATAAAACTAATTTTCTATTTGTAAAACATATTTCATAATATAAAATGTTATAAAACATTATTTATTTATCACTCTTCAATTATTATTAAATTGTATTGTATATATGTATATATACATATATACATATATTTTATGTATTTTTATATAGCTGATGTAAATATAAATTTTCTTCAATTTTATACTATTACAAAAACGTTTCCTAATTTTTATAATCAAAAACACTTGTATATAAAAATATATTAATTCATTACTTATCTATTAAAATCAAATCGATTAATTCCTTTAGTTAAACTATCATTTAAATCTTGTTTCAGATTCTTTATAACTTTTATTTTACATTTTATTTTTTTTCTCTTTATTAACAATAGAAACTTAAAGATATATGAAATGATTGTTATAAGACAGTTTCCGATGATTAGGACATTGCAACTTAATTTCTCTGCAGCGTAACAAAAGTTTATATTCCTTGGCGGGTTTCATTCATAATTTTAGTTACTAATATCATGCGAGATTCTAATAATTTACGAAATCTATCTCAAGATCTAGAATTAAAACTCATGCTCAATTAATGTCTATGGTCTCTTGAGTGCTTTTTATTAATAAACTTTTATTAATAAACTATAAATCTCTATAGTGATGAAATATAGTGCTGTAAGTTCACATTATCGTCACGTTCAAAGGACTTTTCGAGTGAGTCAGCCTCCGGAAAAAGGACTCAACATTGGTCCGCCTGGACGGTTGCAACCCGCAGGAACATCCAGTTCGCGCCACGAGGAAATTGCATTCGCGAGTTGGTCTTCCACCAACCTCGTTTCACCCCTCTTACCTTTCGTCTCGCCAGAGTCGTGATAAAGAGAGAATAGAAAAGGGTTGCTAGAGAAATGAATTAAATTTAAGCCAACTCGCGTCCTATCCAACTATCCCCGTCCTCATCTCTGACACCATCCTTTCCCTTCTTTCACAATGCTCTCGCACTTTGTGTCAGGCTTCTCTTTGTCATTCTATCCTCTTCGTAGTTAAGCCGGCGCAACCGGCCGAGACGACAGCAATGGCCTTCTTTTTAATTTCGAGATAAAAGAGGGCAAAACTATCATTCGAGGGAAGCTGAACGGAGGGTCAATCAAGTCGAGTTATAAGTCCCGTTGGAGAAAAGAAGCGTTCTTTTAAAATTCGGATTCAATCTATTGAAATAAAAATGCGGTCGAACTAAAACGAACGAGAGTATTGGCAGATCTTTCGTCAGGTATATAATAATCGCCTTCACACTGGAAAATCTCCACAAACTCATCTTAGATATTATGAAGTAATATCTAAGCTCTATCTGACTATAGTAGCTCGGACTTGAAGACAATGACTCACGATGTTCTGATTCTAGAGACGAAGGACCTAAGAAATCAGGAATGGATAAAAATTTTACTTTAACAGAATCTTAATTTCAAGATTATTTAAACATTTAAGCTTAAAAATATAAGCTACATCAAATTTTCATCAGAGCAATATTATTGACAAACTAATAAAAATTAGCGAATTAAATCAATAAAAAAAATTAATCCAATCGACAATTCTCTTTTAAATAGAATATTATATTAAATAGAGTATAATATTAATTACGAAGGGTTAATCGCCGATCAAAATTGTGTACACCAATGCTCAGTAATACCTAAGTAATGTCCAATTTTTATGCCCATTAATGCCTTAATAATGTCCATTAATGCCCTAGTAATGTTCATTAATGCTATTCCAGTAATGCATACCGTTTATTATAATTCTCTTAAGACATAAGTAATGCTCAATAATGCCCAGTAATGCCCCAAATCTGTATAATGTAATGTCCTCAACGATTTATCTCTTAATTAATTATTCTTTTCTGCTAATTTTTGTGTCGATATATTTATTCAAAACTTTTAATTTATTTTCCTTATTTTATAAAATTATTAGCTATATTTGTAAATAACAGAAATCATTTCATAAATTTAAAAAACCATATTACACACACACATATATATATATTAGTAATTTGATCTTCTGTTTGCAATCTGAGTCTTTTTAAACATAAGCGAAATTTTACTATCAAATTTTTTTTTTCATTTTTGTTTAAATTTCAATTTTTATTAAATAAAAGTTTCAACAGTAAAGTTAAAAAACTATTTGATAATGTAATAAAAATGTTGAAAAGTAACTCTAAATTTTTCTAAATTTTAGAAAAACTTATAAATAGAATAAAAATA